AGATAGATAGATAGATAGATAGATAGATAGATAGATAGATAGATAGAAGCCAGTATGCACATGGATTTTGTTACAAAAGGGGAGGGCATATTGTGAGCGTGTGAAGTGGTTTTGCATTGTGACTTCAGTTTATAGTTGTACAATCCATGTGTTGTAATGGCAACATACCAGACAGTGAAGGAGATGATTACAGTGCTTGTGATCAACTGATCGTGTAACCTTGGACATGTTAGTTAGAAGGACCACCTCTGCTCTGCAGATGTTGATGGTGTTAATATTATGGCATAAGAAATTAAATTCATATGAAGATATCATCATATTGCTCTACATGTAATAATCATTAACCTATTTGATTGCAAAATTAGGAGCAGTGCAAGTTTTTTCTATTAACATAGAACATGTTTGATCATTTGCCCAACAGCAGCCTTCTGGCTTTGGTAGTGTTAATATACACCAGCATCATGTTCAAACAGTCTATATCAGCATCTTCTAAGTTTCTTTTAAACTTGCTGAATTTGCTGAGTTTGTGGTTCCATTTCACTTTTCAGCCCAAAAACAAGCTCGATTGTTGTTCCACATTGTGACCAACAGGAAAAATTGTCAGAACAAAAAAATGGATTACCGGTATGTAAAATATGCTGTCAACACACAAATCTGCTGCCCCGATCTGAATAGACACTGAAAAGTTTCAGATTTTCATTAAATACAACTAACAAAGAGGGGAAAAAAGTTGCATCAAATCAATCTTTGACAATAAGTGTTTAAACCACGTCTCACAGTTTTAGCCTGCAATGCCCTTTTTTGTCCACTAGGTCATGCAATTTCGCCATTTAATTTGCTCTGGCAAAAATGAATTAAGGAGCAGCAGCTAAATGGACTAAAAGTCTTTTTATAATTGATGTGGTTTTGGCTCATGAAATAATCAATTGAATAGTCTTTAGCTGTATTTAAACATGCTGTTTCAAAGGTGAATATCTGACACTCAAAAGAAAAAATCTTAAAATGAGAAGTTCACACACAAAAAGGAAACTATTGTCACCACTGGGGAAAAAAATCTCTGAAGGTGTTAAGGAGAGGAGGCCAATGAGCTCAGCTTCTGTCTTTGCCTGAGTGCTATTTTTCACAGCTATATAAAGGAAATGTCCTTTTGCACACATTGTACCAGACCTCAGCACAAGCAGGCAGGATGCAGAACATTTCTTTCATACGCTATTTTTTGCCTTTTCGCCTTTTTTGTAAATAGCATTCAACATTCACACCACACAACATATTTTAGCTTTAGCAGTAAATATTGCTTGCTTAAAAGAGCAATGAGATAGAGGTGAGCAGAAGAAGTGGAAAATGAACAATAAAACCTTTTTCTGAGCTTATGTACGTGTATTTTCCAGTTAAAAAGTCACAGTAAGATTTAGAAGCAAGACTAAATTCATCATAAACATCTGTTTTGCTGTGTAATGTATCTTGATATGTCTTTTTAACAAGACTTTTGTGGCTAGTCAGTGATGTCTCACCACTCTCCCCCATGTGGTCAGTAAGCTCATAGGGTAGCAGTTTGCCTTACCACAAGCCACCACCTGAACAGCAAACGTTTCACATCTGGCCTGGTAGATTAGCTCAACATTAGCAATTCAGCCATTTCCAAAACCTTTTTAAACAAGTTTAGAAATATGTCATTTTGTGCTGAGAGGCCCACGAATGCTCATGTAAATGCACATTTTGCTGTGTAAAAGAACAAATAGATATCAATATGTGCTTACCAGTCTTTTAAAGTAATAATAATAGTATGTTCACATAGTTAACTGTGGCTCTGAAATGATAAAGTTATTCACCATAAAAATAAGAAACATTAGAAATTGGAAATTTTGTAGCACGGACACAGGAGCTAGACAAGACTCTACTCTGACCTTTTCATTCAGGTTTGACAGGAAGTTGTTGAGACAGCTTGACTACATTGAGATTCCTCCTCATTGTTTGACAGTTTAGTAAGAAACTAGAAAGAAAACAATTGCAGACCGCACAAAGCGCAACAACTCTGTATGTACACTATCTTCATGCTGTCAGGAAAAAGGTTGTGACCTAACAGGATGGGCCCTGGATGTTTGCCATGATCACTGTGGAAGTCACACAAATGTTTACATTATCTGGATGAATATGAATAATTTAAAATCACATAGCTGCTCAACTCAAACCCGTATAAAAAAAGATAAATCTACCAACGCTAAAACACATCAAGTGGGGCTGGCCAACATTTACTAAGTGAAAGTGTGCTGTTGTTCCATGACACCTTTTACAGATCTGGTTTCCTGTTCTGCTTTAGTGTATGCAATTCGGTTTTTACTGAGAGCAAAGACTGATTATTCATTCTTTTTTCTTCATTGCATGCTCAATATAGTGAGATCTTGTTTTTATTTCATTTTCCATAAACCATACAACAAATGAATGATGTCCAATAGAACTGAATTCAGCTCAAATAAATGTAGAGGCAAGGTTTACTCACAAACAAACACCAGTGCTTCACCCCCTGTCCCCAAGGGCCTGCTGTCTGTCATCTTCATTTTCCCAGACTCACAAAGCCCAAAACCCACATCATTGTTTATAAATTTAGGAGTAATGCAATATTCATCCTGTCAATCGGTAAGCCCTTTGGCAGTGTGTTCAGACCTCAAATTGGCCTGGCTACTGTGAGATGGAATCAAGGAAATGTGCTGAAAATATAACAATGTGTTCTTCTTCTGCTCCTACAAGTGCCTTTAGCGCTCATTCACAATTTCCTATAGCTCTGCATACAGCCCACCAGTTCTAGCACCTCAAGATGATGGCTTAAATTGTGCCACAAAGAAACAATGGAAATAAGATTTGCAAAATATTGTTATTTCATTATGGATCATTTTAGACAGACTTTGCCATTCCATAAATGGCAGGCATATGGTATACGTATATTAAGCTTTCACCCCAACCATTTTTCTTTAGTCAGCATCAAATCTTGCTTCTTTTGTTTTGTCTGACTGTTTAGAGATTAAATACAGCCAAAACGCTGTCAGGGAATTGATTTCTTTGTGTAGCTCCTCCTGAATTAAACTCGACATTGTTGCATTGTCTCAAACATTGGCAGATGGAGGCAATATCCACAAATGTGTCATCATCATTGTCAGCAGGCTGTGTGCATTTGGGAGGGTCCACTAGAACATAAGTATGCGTAAAACAATGTGAAAGTAAACTCCCATCAACCATGTGTGTCAATGTCCATCACAGTTAAAAGAGGTACAACGACAAAAGGTCAGATGTCAAACATTAAGTTTCCTATGTTTTATAGAATGAAGTGATGACTGTTTCTTTCACAGTCTCCCCGCCCAAACGTGAGCATAAGTTCCTTTAAAGTTACAGCTGGTGTTCGCACTTCTTGGACGGGGGAGTGGTCCACAGAGAGTGAGCGAGAGAAAAGCCCCTCCCTAAAAGTTCTTGTCATCCCATTGTGTCACCTCAGCAGCGAGAGCAGATGAAGTTTCAAAGGCAAAAGAGGGACACAACCATAGGGAAGACTAAAGGAACACATATTTCAATTAGAGTCATCAAGTTGCTTTTTCCAAATCTGGACAGCCAAGAGGAGACTTTCAGCATTTAGTGTGGATTAACTCAATTGTTTTAACTTGCTGAGATCTGGACATTGCTTGCCAAATCACCATGGCAGGCGTCTGGATTCTCCTAATTCTGGGTGAGTCACATCTATCATCTATTTTCACAGTGGCTAGAATGGAAAATCTGTTTTGAGAAGTGTTTTTTTTTAGTTTTCTGTTGAATCATATAGGAAGCTTAATAGTTCATGTGGCCAAGAAACCTTTGTAGTAAGTAACAGCAAGGTGTTAATTCAAGTCTGGGATGTCAACTTCATAGTCTAAACATGTCCTGTGGTCAGGTAATGATCAATCCACTGAAAACTATTTGATTTATTTTGGTTAGTGCCTGCAATCTTAACAATAATATTACTGAGGAATCTGAGCTCACTGTGGTGTCAGCAGTCTCCAGCTTCTGGGTGGCGCAGACCACTTAAATGAAGTAGACGGGAAGAAAGTAAAGAAAGAGTGAACAGCAGAGCTTTTCTTGTCAGCTATCACCCTGTATTAATGAACAAAGGATCACAGTTTTTAAGGGATATTTATACACCATGAGCTCATCTTACAGCCCACATAACTAACCACATTTACCACGCAGCTGCCCTAAGGGGAAAAAACTGTGTTTTCTCGTGTCACTAAATAACAGCTCTCTGCTCTCTGTGTTCTACCTTCTGAGAAATATTGATAAAGTCTGCTCTTGCAAAAAATGCTTGATATGCAAAGCACACACATTGGACAGTGTGGTCTAATTCAACTCACAGACTGAATGCATGAAACAGCACAACGACTTTTGTTCCTGTTTTCATATGCTGCACATCACACCCATGCAGCGTCATTCAGGAAACCCAAGAATACCAACTCTGCACCCTAACAGTACTCACTTATATGATAAGAATTTGTGTCATACCATGTTATCTGATGTTGATGTTACCTCACACATGGGAAGTAGGTTTAGCAGAGATCCACGAGCAGATCATTGTGAACCAAAGTGCAGATGGCATTGAAACAATCTGAGGAAGCCAAGACAAAAATTCTGTTTTTAAACCTTTTCTGTAATGCCTATTTAAAACTCCTCATATTTCTGCCTTTGCTAATGTGGCCAAATGTGTACAGTCTTTACCTACAACACGAGAACATCTACTTATAGTTAAAAAAAAATGTTCAAAATGGATTCAATGGTAAAAAAGAAACTAACCGTATCATGGAATGACCAACACTGCTTGCTTTTCAGCTTTGTCCCATTCTTTAGTCACGGTCCAAATGGAACAGTCCTGTCCCCTGGGATTTGGGACAGCACAACATGGTTGTGAAGGTATGTAAAAACATTATCAATCACTGGAAAAACCAATGCAGTGTCACTGTGTGCTACTGTACATTAGTTTGAATCCGTCCACAGAACTTAAAAGCAGCAGCTTCACTGTCAAAGTTGTTCAGAAATATGTTCAGGTTACTCTTCACCTTTTGGGCTCCAAACTTGTTTCACACGAGTGTCTACCTATGTAATTGAACATGTCTATAATACATTTAAGAGAGACTGTCACAAATTACATATTTTACCATCTCAATATGTTATGCCTTTGCTAGATTTAACTTTTCTCTCAATTTTTCTCTCAATCTCATGTTTATTTAATGATTTCTTTGTGGTCACATTCCTGTTTCCTCATTTAAGATATTGACGAATGTGAAGATGATGGGAATCCCTTCAGAATATGTGGACAAAAAGCATTATGTGTTAATACAATTGGGAGCTTCTTCTGCCAGTGTGAGAAAGGTTTTCAATCATCAACAACACGGACAGTCAATTTTACATTTGAGTCATCTGCAAAATGTGTTGGTAAGTGCGCATCAACCAGTGTTGGTTCAGAGCTTTGGTGAATGTTTGCCTTCTCCAGTCATCATGTAAACATTATTGCTTTATCCCTTTGTTTGCCTCAAGATATCAATGAATGCTCTGAAATCAAGGGCATCTGTGGACCTAATGCCAAATGCTCCAACACAATTTCGAATTATAGCTGCAGTTGTGAACAGGGATTCATTTCTTCTACTGGTGTAGCAAGTTTCCGACAGGAGAATAATGTTACATGCAGAGGTAACATGACAGTCACTTTCTTTGCAGCACTTTTTCTGTAAAGGCTTCTGTATTCAAGGTGATAATATGGTTTTCCCTTTTCTGTTCATACAGACAGAAATGAATGTCTAGAAGGAAATGTTTGTGGTATGAATGCATCATGTATCAACACAGAAGGCAGTTATTACTGTGTCTGCAATCCTGGCTTCAAACTGAAGTCTGGAAAATCTAATTTCACGGGAGATTTGGACCAGTGTGAAGGTAAGGGTTATGACTCAACTCATCAAGTTATGTATGCATTTGATCACTTTTATATGCAGAATAGTTACTTGAAATTTAAAACATTCAGTCTAATTTAATATGTTTGACTATGACCATTGTGATGGCAATAACGTATACAAAGACTGATTGTTTTTCTGACCTTGACTTGTTTCCATTTTAGACATATGTATGATTGATAAGACAATATGTGGAAATGGAACCTGCCACCATGGAGCCACTGGGTATTACTGTGCATGCCATGCAGGGTTCACAAACTATGGCAACAAAAAGTCAAGTTGCACTGGTGAGAACACAACTGCATTCAACTCTTGTCAGAAGCCAATGCAAAAATAACATTTCTTTAATCATAAATACATTTCTTTTTTGTCTCAGAACTAGACTGCAGTGTTTTCAAAGATATAAACAAATTGAAAGAGGTACATTTACAACATATTCCTTATATATATACAGTATATAAATATAAATACAGTATATATACATATATATATATATATATGTGTGTGTATGTGCATGTGTGTGTGTGTGGGGGTGGGGGTGGGGGGGGGGGGGGGGGGGGTTGTGGGTGTGTGTGTGTGGGTGTGTGGGTGTCAGTCTAAAATTATTCTGTGAATTCCTCTTTCAGAAATTTTCCGTTGTAAAGGATGACATGATGCAGCTGAATAAAAGCTGCCTGGAACTCATAGAGAGTGAAAATCCTAAAAATCTGTCTGGAGAAGACTTGCTAACGGTAATAATGATTAATGGAAATTAAGTCCTATAATGCAAAAAAAGGAATGAAAAAAAAGTTAAAACTAAAGAATAAAAACTTGAAGTAACCCAGCTTAAACAGAAACAGGAAGTTCCTGCCCCTCGAGCTCTGTCAGATGGTGTTCAGATGTCTATGTCACACAGCCTTGTAGGCTGTTCTTGCAGCTGTTTGTAGCCTGAAAGTCTGCTCTCAGTCTGACTGCATTTCTTGTTTTCATGTTCTCCTCCACTCTTGTCACTGTAGCTACTGTTGTCTTTGATCGACAAGCTCTTGTCCAGTGGAATTCTCAATGACAACAGGAAAGTCTCCACCTTTCTGAACTTGGTGGAGCTCGCTTTAGGATTCATAGGACCTTTTACAACGGCCATGGAAACAAAAAGAACATCCGCTCAAACAGGTTTAACAGAAATAAGCATACATTGAATAAATATAAATCTACACACAAATATGTGCATGACTGAGATTTTTGCTTATACTATTAATTTCTGCATTTAGGACAGTGATCTTTGTAGCTATTACTTTCCCCTTTTTAATGTTATGCCTGCTAATGTCTGTGCCTTGTTACAGAATTGGAGTTGCTGGTGCATAAAGGGTCTGTCTTACCGAGAGGAGCAAGGACTCTGTCTTCTAAGTATGCTCAGCTAAACATTGAGTTGGAGGTCGCTGCAGGAGATCCTTCGTATTACCCTGGTAATGATCAAGCATCCACATAACCACCTCGATAAACAGCTTAATGATGCCATTGCTAAAATATTTTCTGTTGCTCCGATTGAAAAACAACAGGTTTTACAACAGCGTCGTTACTCAGTTATTCAAACTTTGAAGACTCTGTGAATGGCTTCTTCAGCGCGATGAAACCCGATGAGGGACAGAGCTTCAAGATAAACTCCAAAGTGGTGACCGTCACCGTCAGTAACAGAAACACAAGCCACCTCAAAGAGCCAATCACGTTAACTTTTCAACACATCATACAGGTAAAAGGAAGACGTTTTATAGTTTTTAGTTTATCTTTTAGATCACTCACCTCTTTATTTATTCATGTCATTTCTTTTACAGACAAATGAAACTTCTCACACCTGTGTATTCTGGGATTCCTCAGAGGAATCTGAGGGGGGGTCATGGTCACCTTATGGCTGCAG